AGGACCATCGAGGAGCTTCCTTGATCATTTGGCGAAGAAACCACGCACGAAACCGAAGAAAACACAGGGAATGTACGTCCGAGCGATGGCCCGTTGTGCTCCCCAACTCTTATGTCTCCCTTTCCCTGCTAGGACCTTCCCTTTCAGTCATCATCCCTCTTCCTCTCCCTTCATTCTTCCCCCCGTCCTCGGTTTCAGCCTCATCATCATCACCATCATCATCACCATCATCATCATCATCAGCATCATCGTCGTCATCATCAGCATCATCAGCATCATCATCAGCAGCATTATCATCAGCATCATCCCGTCTCTCCTCCCCCTCTTCCTCCCTTTTTCCACCCACCTCCCTCTTTCTCCTCAACATTCTCCCGAGCGTTGTGACCACACCTCCCTCGGGTGATGAGGATTTGTTCCAAGTCCCCTGCATTGTTGGGTTCGCGTCCCTAGTCAGCAACGGCCCGTGATCACTCGCCCTCCTCCTCTTTCTCCCCCTCCTCCCCTTTCTCCGCGCCCTCTCCCTGCCCCTGCCCCTCTCCCTGCCCCTGCTCACCCCTCGCGCGTGCGCGGCGCCACCCCCGCCCGATCGGCGCGGCCCTGCCGCGACTCGTGGCCCCACGGGGGAGCTCCGCCGACGGCCTCGGTGGCAAAGCTTGTGTGCTGGCCGCAGCGGCAACTTTCGAGCCGTCGCCGCGCTCATGTTCGGCATGCACCCCCCACGCGTCCCGTGGCCCGATAGGGGAGCTCCACCGAGGGTCCCGGTGGCAAAGTTCGCCTGCGCGCCCGCGCCCATGCCGCACGGCACCGCCGCTCATTTCGGCACACCCTGCGCACGGCTCGCGTCGCTGCAGACGGCCCCCGTGCCCGAGCCCATATGCGGGCCATCGGCCATTTTGGCACACCTCACACGCTTCGTTTCGATGCTCGTTTTGGGGACCTTCCTGGGGCCCACCTAATGGATCTGTTCGACTCAGGTTCGACTCAAGTTCGACTCAGGTTCGACACAGATTCGACTCAGTCTCGACTCAGGTTCGACACAGATTCGACTCAGATTCGACTCAGGTTCGACGCAGCTTCGACGCACGAGTGGAGCGAGTGGCTCCAGGAAGGTCCCCAGAATGAGTAATTATCTAACTTCGTGGCCGTGGCCCCATGCGGAGCTCGTCTCCGAATGCTCTGCTGCCAGAGCCCGCAGGCGTGCCCGCGCCCCTCGCGGCCCTCTCTCCCACGCGCTGCGTGGCCCGAGGAGGGGCTCCGCCGAGGGACGGGTGCGTCCGCACGGCATCGCCCCCCCGCCCGTGTCGGCACGCCCCTCGCACCTGTCGTGGCCCCTGCAGGGAGCTCCTCCCTCCTCCTTCCTCCCTCCTCCCTCCTCCTCCTCCCTCCTCCCTCCTCCCTCCTCCTCCTCCTCCTCCTCCTCCTCCCCCTTCTCCTCCTCCCTCCTCCCTCCTCCTCCTCTCCTCCTCCTCCTCCTCCTCCCTCCTCCATCCTCCCTCCTCCCTCTTCCCTCTTCCCTCCTCCTCCACAGGCTTCAGTGGCAGGGTCCGCGTGGTGCCACTGCCCCGTGTCGGCATGCCTTCCACACGGTTCTGGGCCCCACAGGGAGGTTGTCCGAAGGCCCCAGTGGCAGGGTCCGCATAGCGCCACCGTTTCAGTTATTCATACTTTTCAAACGCTTTGTGGCCACGTGGGGAACTCCTCCGAAGGCCCCAGCGTGAGAGTCCGCATGCGTCTCCGCGGTGTCCCAGGGTCCATCCCACTCGCGGCGCGCTTCGTGTGAGAAGACGGCCGTTCTTGTGTTTTGCTGGCGGATGGGTGCAGCTTTGATTGCCGATATTCGTATGCGTATGCGCATGTAACATACACAAATGTATGTATATATGCATGCATATATTTTTGTATGCATGCATGCATGCATGTATGTGTGTGTGCGTGTGTGTGTGTGTGTGTGTGTCTGTTTGTCTGTATGTGTATCTGCTTGTCTGTATGTATGTATATGTGTATGTTTGTAGGTGTGTATGTATGCACGCATGCATGTATTATGTATGCATGTAGATGTGTAGGTGTGCAGGTATGTAGGTAACTCCACGCCTGCCCCCTCCTCTCCCTGTCATTCTCTCTCTCTCTCTCTTCCTGTCTCTGTCTCTGCTGTATGCCCGGGTAGCTCGTAGAGAGCTCAAAGGCTTTCATCGTAGAACACCTCACCGCGGCTCCTGTCAGCTTTCATCGAATTCCTGGAGGCCTCTTCTAGCTGTTTCTCAATACGTGTGCCGTTCGGTTTTCCAGAAGCTCCTTTCCAGAGTTTCAGGAGCTCCTTCGACGGACCTTCCAGAAGTTCTGTCGCATCGTTATCCGGGTTTTGGACATCACAGGTATTTCATATCTTTGGTATACATCTAGCACATCGCTGTTGTTTGGAATATCCTCACACCTCACTCTGCACTCTATTGTCCCAGACATTCTCTCACCTATAAGCACGGGTGCCTGTGAGTGCGTGTGTGTGTGTCTCCCTCGGTCTCTCTCTCTCTCTCTCTCTCTTTCTTTATCTATTTGTTTTTCTCTCTCCCTCTGTTTCTCCATCTCGCTCTCCTTATTTGTTTTGTTGCTTTTTCTCTTTGTGTATACCCAACTTCGCCCACTGACCTTCGATATCTCACCACTATATATGATACAATTTCATTCAGACGTCCTCGTCCATCTTTCAAAACTAGATCTGGTCATCGTCGCAAATACTGTGTTGTTTTCCTCTCAGGTCAAATCTGTTCGCAACTCTCTGACCCCTGGAACCTTTCCGATCAAAAGGCCCAGTCCACAGCCAAGACATCCAGAATCCCATGACCTTGAGCTGCCAGCAATACAGTCGGGGCCCTGAAGAAGGAACCCTTTTCGTTGGGGAGGGGCTCCGCGTTCCTTAAGTATTTCACAGCCTGCCCCAGGCTTTCCTTATGTTTTCGATGGGAAGTCGAAGGTTAACTGATAGAAAAAAGGGGCCTCGTTCCTTATTTAGGGTTCCTTAGGTCAACGCCCCGACTGTAATGGGGACCGGGCAGCCAGGAACCGAGGACCGCGAGCCCTGGAACCCAGCTGCCCACCGAGCCAGCAACGGGGGAACCCAGCCAACCTGAAGGCGGTTGCTCGCTAGGAGCTAGGAAGCATGGGCTCCTCCTCCTCCTCCTCCTCCTGCGGATGGGTGCAGCTTTGATTGCCGATATTCGTATGCGTATACGCATGTAACATACACAAATGTATGTATGTATGCATAAATATATGTTTGTATGCATGCATGCATGCATGCATGTATGTGTGTGTGTGTGTCTGTTTGTCTGTCTGTGTGTCTGCCTGTCTGTATGTATGTATATTTGTATGTATGTAAGTGTGTATGTATGCACGCATGTATGTATTATGTATGCATGTAGACGTGTAGGTGTGCAGGTATGTAGGTTACTCCACGCCTGCCCCCTCCTCTCCCTGTCATTCTCTCTCTCTCTCTCTCTCTCCCTCTTCCTGCCTCTGTCTCTGCTGTATGCCCGGGTAGCTCGTAGAGAGCTCAAAGGCTTTCATCGTAGAACACCTCGCCGCTGCTCCTGTCAGCTTTCAGCGAGTCCCAGGAGGCCTCTTCTAGCTGTTTCTCAATACGTGTGCCGTTCGGTTTTCCAGAAGCTCCTTTCCAGAGTTTCAGGAGCTCCTTCGACGGACCTTCCAGAAGTTCTGTCGCATCGTTATCCGGGCTTTGGACACCAGAAGTATTTCATATCTGTTGTATACATCTAGCACATCGTTTTTGTTTGGAATATCCTCACACCTCAATCTGCACTCTATTGTCCCCCCAGACCTTCTCTCACCTATAAGCACGGGTGCCTGTGAGTGTGTGTGTGTCTCCCTCGGTCTCTCTCTCTCTCTCTCTTTCTTTATCTTTGTTTTTCTCTCTCCCTCTGTTTCTCCGTCTCGCTCTCCTTATTTTGTTTTGTTGCTTCTCTCTCTGTGTATACCCAACTTCGCCCAATGACCTTCGATATCTCACCATTATATATGATACAATTTCATTCAGACGTCCCGTCCCTCTTTCAAAACTAGATCTGGCCATCGTCGCAAATACTATGTTTTTTTCTCTCAGGTCAAATCTGTTCGCAACTCTCTGACCCCTGGAACCTTTCCCCAGAACCCCATGACCTTGAGCTGCCAGCAATGACGGGGATCGGGAAGCCAGGAATCGAGCACCGAGAACCCTGGAACCCAGCTGCCCACCGAGCCAGCAACGGGGGAACCCAGCCAACCTGAATTCGGTGGCTCGCTGCAGTCGGGGCGTTGACCTGATGAACCCTAAATAATAAGGAACGAGGCCCCTTTTTCCCATCAGTTAAAGTTCGACTTCCCATCGAAAACCTAGGGAAAACCTAAGGCAAGCTGTGAAACAATCAAGGAACACGGAGCCCCTCCCCAACGAAAAGGGTTCCTTCTTCAGGGCCCCGACTGTAGGAGCTAGGAAGCATGGGGCCAGGAACCCGGGATCCCAGCCGACCTTGCATTGCCGGGGACCCAGGAAATTTGGACCCCAGGAGCGAGCGCATTGAGATCGGCCCGGGACCGGGGGCCTTGGGACCAGGTACCCGGGAACCTTGGAACTCAGCCGCCTGCCGACATGGGCTCGGGATTCTAGCCGGCTTTTTCAGTCTTTGCCAGGACCCCTTCAGTGGAAGCATTGACTGGGGCAGAATGTGAACATACACGTAGACATGAACACGTGATCGTTTTCTCATTCGCTGTTCTGCCGATCGGCGCGGGCCCTCGCCCCCCCCTCCACGGAGTAGATCTTGGCTGCTTTTTGGCGCCTGTTTCGAGCAGGTGGAGCCCCTCCCCCATAGGACGCACTGTCGCCAACGGTCGCACTAAGCAGAGGTCCTCCCCCCTTCCCTCCCTCCAAGTGTCGAAACGTCGAATAAGAAAACGCTCACCACAGGTGCAGCTGCTATAGTTAACGCAGCATGGCCAGCATGTCGGCCACACGTTTGGCACGAGGGGGGGGTGTCCGACCCTGCTCGGCACAGGCAGGAGGTCGTCTCCTCGTCCTCCCCGTGCGTCTGTCGCGCCCTACGCACTCCGCGGCGCTTGCCCATCTAGATGCTCAGAGGGGGCTGGCGGACTGTCCGACGTCATCCAGCCTTACGGGTGGCGCTCTTAGCCTGCCCTGTCTTGCCAGAGGGAGGAGAGGAAGAGGGGGAAGACGAGGAGGGAGGAGGAGGAGGAGGAGGAGGAGGAGGAGGAGGAGGCGGAGGAGGAGGAGGAGGAGGAGGAGGAGGAGGCGGAGGAGGAGGAGGAGGAGGAAGAGGAGGAGGAGGGGAGGAGGAGGAGGAGGACGAGGAGGAGAGAAGGAGAGGAGGAGGAAGGAGGGAAGGAGGAGGAGGAGGAGGAGGAGAGGAGGAGGAGGAGGAGGAGGAGGAGGAGGAGATGAGGAGGAGAGGAGGAGGAGGAGGAGGAGGAGGAGGAGGAGGAGGAGGAGGAGGAGGAGGAGGAGGAGGAGGAGGAGGAGGAGAGGGAGGAGGAGGAGGAGGAGGAGGAGGAGGAGGAGGAGGAGGAGGAGGAGGAGGAGGAGGAGGAGGAGGAGGAGGAGGAGGAGGAGGAGGAGGAGGAGGAGGAGGAGGAGGGAGGAGGAGGGAGGAGGAGGAGGAGGAGGAGGAGGAGGAGGAGGAGGAGGAGGAGGAGGAGGAGGAGGAGGAGAGGGGGGGGGGGAGAGGAGGGAGGAGGGGAGGGGGAGGGGGAGGGGGGAAGGGGAGATGGAAGAGGAGGATGAGGAGGAGGAGGAGGAGGAGGAGGAGGAGGAGCAGGACGAGGAGGAGGACGAGGAGGTGGAGGAGGAGGAGGAGGAGGTGGAGCAGGAGGAGGAGGAGGGGGAGGGGGAGGGGGAGGGGAGGAGGAGAGGTGGAGGAGGAGATGGAGGAAGAGGATGAGGATGAGGAGGAGGAGGAGGTGGAGTGGAGGAGGAGGAGGACGAGGAGGAGCAGGAGCAAGACGAGGAGGAGGTGGAGGAGGAGGAGGAGGAGGAGGCGCAGACATGAGCGTCCGTCGGTATGGGGTTCCGCGAAAAGTTGGCGGACCTCAGCCACTTCCGGGGAGCGGGAGGGGGGCGGGGGGGGGCGGGGGGCAATTCCAGGGGGCTGCCAGGCTGTGGTGGATTGCAGTCCTGGGGCTTGCGCGGAGCGGGAACCCGAGAAAACCAGCGGCACGTGCCTCAAGAAGGCGGGTAGGGAGGAGGATGACGAGAAGAAGGAGACGGAGAACGAGGAGAGGATGAGGCGGGTGAGTAGGTTAAGGAATATGTGAGGGATGAGGAGGGGGTGTAGGAGGAGAAAGACGAGGAGGAGGAGGAGGAGGGCGGAGGAGGAGGCGGAGGAGGAGGAGGAGAAGGAGGAGGAGGAGGAGGAGGAGCTGGGGGAGGAGGAGGAGGAGGAGGAGGAGGAGGAGGAGGAGGAGGAGGAGGAGGAGGAGGAGGAGGAGGAGAGGCGCAGGAGACGGGCGGAGGAGAAGGGCGGAGTGGAGGCCTGCATGAAGAAGCGTACAGTTCGATACCAAGGGAGCGGATAGCGATAAGGTAGAGCGGAAGGAGTAGCAGTACCAGCACAAGCAGCAACGAGGAGGACACAGGGGCAATGAGATGAACCCTGATGGAGGAGAAGGAGGAAAACTAGGGACGAGAGAGAAAGAGGATGGGGAGGCGGATAATGAGGGATGAGCAGGAGGAGGGCGTGGGGTGAGGCGCGAGGAGGTGGGGGAGAAGAAGAGAGGGCGGAATGAGGAAAAGGGGAGCAGGAATGAGTGGAGGGGAACGAGGAATGAGGATGATGACGATGCTGATGGTGACGATGATGATGATGCTGGTGGTGATGATGATGATGGTGATGGTGATGATGATGACGTTGATGGATGATACTGATGGTGATGTTGACGATGATGATGCTGATGATGCTGATGCTGATGTTGATGTTGATGTTGCTGCTGATGAGGATGATCATGATGTCGATGACGATGAAGATGATGATGAAGCTGATGATGCTGGTGATGATGATGATGATAACTGTGATGATGACGATGATGATGATGGTGATGCTGGTGGTGGTGATGATGACGATGGTGGTGATGGCGATGTTGAGGATGATGATGATAATGATGTTGATGATGCTGATGGTGATACTGATGATGATGGTGATGGTGATGGCGGTGGTGATGGTGGTGATGATGCTGTTGATGAGGATGATGATGATGCTGATGATCATGATGATGATGATGCCGGTGATGCTGGTAATGATGTTGATGATGATGTTGATGTTGATGATGAGGATGATGATGATGATGATTGTGACGATCATGGTGATGGTGATGGTGATGATGATAGTGCTGGTGATGGTGATGCTGATGATGCTGATGATGATGCTGATGATGCTGATGATGCTGATGCTGATGATGCTGATGATGATGCTGATGATGATGCTGATGATGATGATGATGGTGGTGGTGGTGGAGGTGGTGGTGGTGGTGATGATAACGACGACGACTACGATGACGACGACAAATATGATGATGGGTTGGTGGGTGTGATGGTGATTTTGCTGATGCTGGTAATGATGCTGATGGTAACCATGATGTTGGTGATGATGATAACTATGACGATGACGATACTGATGACGACGCTAACGATGTCGATGACGATGCTGATGCCTGTGATGATGGTGATGATGATGCTAATGATGATGCTGATGATCATTATGATAGTGATGATGGTGGTGGTGGTGATGATGCTTGTGATGATGGTAATGCTGCTGATGACTGTGACGATGATGACGGTGTCGATGACGATGACGATGTTGACGTTGGTAATGATGACGATGATGATGACGATGATGATGGTAATGATGACTGCCGATGATAATGACTGATGACGACGCTGCGGATTATGATGATGATAATGGTGGTGATGATGAGGATGATGACGATGATGATCACGTTGACGACGATGCTGACAATGATCCCCTGAGATGATGATGATGATGATGATGATGATGATGATGATGATGACGCTGATGATGATGATGGTGATGCTTCTGCTGCTGCTGATGATGATGTCGATGACGTTGACGATGATGGTGATGGCGATGCTGATACTGGTGATGATAATGATGATGGTGCTCATGATGCTGATGATGATGATGGTGCTGATACTGACGATGATGGTGATGATGATGATGCTGCTGCTGATGATGATGATGATGATGGTGATGCTTATGTTGCTGCTGATGATGATGCTGATGACGATGATGATGATGATGATGATGATGATGATGATGACGCTGCTGATACTGAGGATGATGATGATGATGATGGTGATGATGATAATGATGATGCTCGTGATACTGATGCTGATGATGATGATGATGATGATGATGATGATGATGATGCTGTTGATGCTAATGCTGAAGTTTTAGCTGATGTCGATTATTCGGGTGCTGGTGCTGATTGTACCCGCTGCTGCTGCTGCTGCTGCTGCTGCTGCTGATGATGATGATGATGATGATGATGATGATTATGATTATGATGATGATGATGTAGTTGGTGAGGACGAGTTGGAGGAGGTGGAGGAGGAGTCTGAGGAGGAGAACCAGTATGTGGCGTTTGGGACGGGGAGAAGGAGCATCATGATGAGGAACATGAGGGGCAGGACGAGCAGGATGAGGATGATGTGGGGGATGAGTCGGGGGGAGATGGAAGACGAGGAGGAGGGGTGGTGGTCATAAGAGGCGGAGGAGGAGAAGGAGGAGGAGGAGGAGGAGGAGGAGGAGCGCTGCAGGCCCCTCCTCGACCTCTCCGCTCGACCTCGCCCGACTCGCTATTCTGCCTCACTGGTCGATCACGACTTCGAAGTGGACCAGTCTTTTTGACCTCCTCTGCGTCCCTGTCGGTCCTCTCGCCACTCCCGGCCTGATCTCGTTCCTCCCCTTCTCTCCCTCGGTCTCGCTCTCCCCCTGCCTCTCCCTCTCGTTGCCCCCTCCTCCTTCCTCGCTCCCGAAGATGGAAGGGTACGGGCTCACCGCAGGGTGGGGCATCCTCACAAAAGAAGCTACGCCAGGGTGGCCATGCTAATTGTGTTTGTTCGGGAAAGGCGGCCTCTAGCCCCGGAGTCGTCTCAGCTGGGGCCCTCCCCCTCGCGCCGAAGGGGCGCCTCGCTCCTGCGGCGGGGCGCGCGGGTCTCATGCTGCCGCCTCTGCCGTGTCCCCGCTTGGCCCCCTCTTGCCGCCCCCCTCATCGCGGGCCCCCCCGGGGGGGAGCCGCAACCCATCGGGCCCCTGGAGAGAGGACTTTTGTTACTCCAGATTTCATAATAAAGGGAGGGTGGTCTCATTTCGGGGGGGGGTCTCTTCCAGGCTATCTTGGAGGGCCTGGGGGGTCTGGGGACGATGTTTTGGAGGGTTCTCCCACGGGGGAGGTCTGAAATGGCTTGTCTTGGAGGGTCCAGACCCCCTCCCTTTTATTACGAAATCTGGAGTACCCTCTGGACCATCTCGCGCGCTATGCCCCCTCCCCCCCCCCCTCTTCCCCCCATAACGTACCCAGACATGATCGCGTCGTAAGAGCTCAGGACGGTCAGTTTTTCGTGATTCTCGGCCCCCGGTGCCCTCGCCGGTCCCCAGGAGCGTCAAGAAAGGATTCAGGATGAAAAACCGGCCCTCGGGAAAGGGTCTTGACTTCCGTGGACGCCGCCCTGGTAAAGCCAGGAAGTCGCATGTCTGGGGAACGCTCCCCCCCTCAGGGCGCCCCCGGTGCTGCCGCAGTACGTCCAGCACCACCGTCGGGGGGGGGGGGCACACGTCATGCCCCTCCCCGCGCCCCCCCCTCCCTCCCCAGACATGCGACTTCCTGACTTTTTCAGCGCGGCGCCCCTGGAAGTCCAGACACCCTTTCCCCGGGCCCCGGGGTTGGTTTTTTCATCCTCCTCCTCTACGCAGGCAGCGCGCGCTGTTGCCCCGGAGCGCGGGCCGCCTGCAGTGGAGGCCAGCACCCGAGTCTCGCCACGCAGAGAGTTCCGGCATCTGTGGAATTCTTCGCAGCGATTTGGCCACGTGCAGAAGGGGGTAGGGGGAGGGGGGAAGGCTCCTTCGAAGCACCCCTGCTTCTCAGAAGGCGCGGGCCTTCTTTGCAGATGTAAGGCCGGCGCCTCCTAAGAAGCAGCCTGCTTCTAAGAAGCTTTCCCCCCTCCCCCTACCCTCGCCGCCAAGGGATAGCGATGGCTTCGAGGCGACGCCTGAACTCCACGAGACCGATCCGCTCCGATCCGCTCGTCCTCCTTCTCCTCCTTGCTCTTCTCCCCACCTCGCTTTTAGGGGACGCCCCCTTTCTCGGGTGGGGACGGATTTCCATACTCCCTGATTCGATATGGACCCTCAGGAGGAGGAGGAGGAGAAGGGATAACGAGGAGGATGAGGATGACGAGGATGATGATCATAATGGTGATGCTGACGATAGTGCGTAACGGTCTTGATGATTATGATGGTGATGACGAGGAGGGGGCGGAGAAATGTTCATGATGGTGACGGTGTTGTGAGACATCGGTTGAGTGTGTTGATGATGTTGATGATGTGGGTCATACTGATGGTGTTGAGGATTAGGATGGTGGTTGCGACGGTGGTGGTGGTGGTGGCGATTATGGTGATGGTGGTGATCATGGAACGATGCGGCGAGGAGGACGAAGACGAGGGGGAGGAGAAGGTATGGAAGAAAGGATGCTGAGGAATGTGGGCACCCTTCGCCTCTTTGTCACTCCCGCCGTCTTTCTGATCTGAATATGTTGCTCGTGTGCGGCGTCCCGAACTCCAGACCCCTTCCGCCTGCTTCCCAGGTGGAGCTCTGACACGCTGCTTCTCTTCAACGCGGCTGCCGGCGAGTGGCGCACGTACCACACGAAAAACCTGGAGCCGCCGGGCGCGCCGGGGAAATGCCAAGGGAGTGTCACGCCATATGGCCACCCGCGCCCCCACACGCTCGAGAGGTAGCGGAGGCGTTTGGAGGTGGGGGACGGTCAGGGAGAGGAGGAGGAGGAGGAGGAGCAGGAGGAGGACGAGGAGGAGGAGGAGGAGGAGGAAGAGGAGGAGGGGGAGAGGAGGAGGAGGTCGTTCGGTAGGGAGCTCGGGGCTTAGCGACTGGCGATCTTGGCGCGGGGGCTGGCCATTCGCCCTCTCGGTGTGTGTGTGTGTGTGTTCAAGTCCTCGCGAGCTGGTGGCCCCGTCGCTTCCCTCCCTGCCCCGCTTCAGCAGTCCCTTCGATCATGGACTGGTGGGGCGAAGTGAGAGCCACGAGGAGGAGGAGGAGGAGCAGGAGGAGGAGGAGGGAAGGGAAGGGAAGGGAAAGGAAGGGAAGGGAAGGGAAGGGCCCGCTGAGACCAAATCTCCGCTGAGCTTTGGGGAAGGTCTGGGGCTCCCCTCGAAGCTAGACCTCGGCGCTCCTCAGCAGGAGGGCGCCACGAGGTATGGTGAGGGAAGGTAAGGCAATGTTCCGCTGAGCTTAGGGGAAGGTTTGGTGCTCCCCTCGAAACCAGACCTCGGCACTCCTCACCAGGAGGGCCCCAGCGACGGCGCCCTTCGGGGAACGTCGGCGCACAGCCGATTTCGGTCAACACCTGCGATTATCGATTGCCCGTCGAGCTCGAGGGAGGAGTAGGAAAGGTGAGGAGGAGGAGGAGGAGAAGGAGTAGGTTGAGGAGGAAAGGGGAGGAGGAGGGGCATCAGGTTAGGTATCGTATGTTCTTGTGCCTCCGCTGAGCGGCAGACGTCGGCGTTACTCTATACCCTGCAGGGCAATCATGTTCCCTTCTCTGCTTGCACGTCCTGTTCTGCGCGCGCCGTCTGCTTAAGTACTCTGCTCGTCGCTATCCCCGAGTCGGCCTCGCACTGATTGTTTTTCCCGCGAGCGCTACAGCATGTTGGTTTGAGTTAGCGCAGCGTCAACAAAAAAGGAATGGGGCTCCTGCGAACCCTGCGGCCCAGACAGCTGGCGTCGTGTTTTTGCTCCCCGACGTGGCTCCGCAGAGGCTTCCGGAGGACCGGCTTTTCATCCTGAGTCGTCTTCGTCAGGCGACCGCAAACATGGACCAAGGAGGCGTGGATCAGAGACGGGTCACGTTTCCATGGGAAATCGCGGATCTCCGCCGCCGAACGAGGCGGCACTGGCCGCACTTTGGGGAGCCATGGATCCCTAGTCCATGTTTGCGCTCCCCCGACTTTGACAGTCCTGGGGCCCGGTACTCTGGGCCTCCCAGATGAATGGGGTCGAAGCAGATGGGCTCGGAGGATCGCGCCGCATCGCCGCTGCATGGGGCAATGCGGCTCGACATGGGGCCCCGTTCTCTCCAGGCCGACGCCGCGGATGTATCGCCGACGTCGCCAGTGCATGGCCGGTGCATCGCCGATGCATCCCCGCAGGGCCCTGCGAACCCTCTCAGGTAAGCTGCGGAACGCGCG